GACGAAGGCAGGAAACTTGGGCATGGGTCAGACTTACAGAAGATTTGGGGCCAATCACCAAACAGGTAAAATAGAACCTAACAATTGTTGTTCTAGAAAAGGGCAGTCTGCACGATGATATGCAAGAGCAAACTGATCCGAAGCCCGAGAAAAGCACTGCTTAATAAACCTTAAGACTTAATAAAAAAATCTGATAGTTTGCATATGAAAGCCTTATAATGTTTACTACTAATCTGCCAAATTTCATGAACATATACTTACTAATTTATAAGTAACAGAATGAAAACTATAACAAGCACAAAATGGTTATGAGGTCAGTCAAAAGGACTGAGCCCTTGCTGAAAGAGTTAATAAAACACCAAAAAACTACTACATCAATGTATTCCAATACCTTCAGCTTTATTGAATCACCATTACACCACAAAATTATTACACCAAGACTCCAATACCTACAGCTTTACTGGATCAGCATTACAGCAGTAAACTATTCCTATAATAGACTTCAATATCTTTAGCATTAGTGGATTAGCATTACAGCACTAAACAATTACATCATTGGACTCCAATGATGTAATTGTTTAGTGCTGTAATGCTAATCCACTAAACAATTACTCCAATACCTTTAGCTTTAACGAATCACCATTACTCCTCTAAACTATTCCATCAATGGATGCCAATACCTTCAGCTTTACTGGATTAGCATTACATCACTAAAATATTCCATCAATAGACACCAATACCTTCAGCTTTACTGAATCAGAAGCATTACATCACTAAACTATTCCATCGGTAGATGTCAATACCTTCAGCTATAGAGAATTAGCATTACACCACTAAATTAGTCCATGGACTTAAATACATTCAGCTGTACTGAATCAGCATTAATACTCTAAAACAGTGTTTCCCAAAGTAGAAGCCATAGCCTACCTGGGGTCATGAAGCTTTTTTTGGTGGGCCACCAAAAAATGGGCTGAAAACAAAGATGCTGAATTAATTTTAATTCTAAATATACAATAAGCCAAGAAAAATGATGTTGAATTAATTAAATTATACCGTATGTCAAAAGAAGATGTTATTGTTTTTACTACGGCACTCACCATGCTAAAATTGAAGTTTGAGGGGGCCTCAAACTTCTTTCTTCACATCAAGGGAGCTTCAAACTAAAAGCATTTGGGAACCACTACTGTAAACTATTCAATCAATGGAATCCATTATCTTCAGCTTTATTGTATCAACATTACACCACTAAAATATTCCATCAATGGACACCAATACCTTCAGAATGACATCACTAAACTATTCAATCAATGGAATCCATTATCTTCAGCTTTACTGAATCAGCATTACATCACTAAACTATTTCATCAATGGACTCCAATACCTTCAGCTATACTAAATCAGCATTATACCACTAAACTGTTTCATCAATTTACTCCTATACTTTTAGCATTACTGAATCAGCAGTGTTGGAGCTTTCTTGCAACTGAACATTAAGATAAGAGTTTAAAAGAAATTGACTATTAGAGTTTTGGATTCAGAGAACAGTAGAGTATCCAGGATGAGATTTTCATTATTTGCTGACCTAAAGTCCATATACAAAAGCAGAATGAATGCTGAACCTGACTTGAGGCTAAAGCTGACAAACATTACACCTAATGTCACAGACTTTTCCTCACAAAAACAAACAGACTAATGGCATAAAAGCGTAGACAGATAAGTCTGTGGTTAATATTGATATTTATGATTTTTTATGTGCTTAATTCATTTTGTTAAATTATAATGTTACTGTGTGGCTCACCTATTTATGTATCTAGTGATTGAAAGAAGATGTTTCATACAATACTTTTGCCTGTTTAACTTGTGTATCCAGTGAATGAGTTGTGTTTCATATAATACCTTAATCTGTAAGTTGTGTATCCAGTAACTGTGAGATGTTTTATACAATACCTTAGCCTATTTAACACATTGACTGCTGTCTCTTATAGTATATACCACACCCAATTGTCAAGCCAAGTATGTGTGTGCATATACTTTATTTTCAAATTTTACCTATCTATAAGTAATGCCCTCACATGACAGTGATGTTCAGATTGAAATGCTGGCTGATAATAGCAGGGATAACCAGTCTAGTGATGGTGGCAACCCTATTATTTCATCAGACTCTTATTTTTCAAATGACAATAATGCAGTACCAGCAACATGTGGAAAACCTAGAGATCATGAGATCTGCAACAGAGGACAGGTCATGGTGGTAAGACAAAGGGTGGTGGAACTGGTTCTTCTACACTAGTGTGTGATAGAGGAGCAGTTGGAGATATGAACCCTGGTGTCCCATCGCATAACTGGTCAAATGTTGTGCAAGCTCCACCTGATTTCACTTTCAATGAAAACTCTGGTCTTAGAATTCAGTTACAAGATGCTTCACCTGCTGATTATTTTGACTTATTCCTGACTCCCAAATCACTAGATAACATGGTCACAGAAACAAATCGATATGCGACAGACAAAATCAACAAACTGTCACCATTGCAAAGAGAATCACGTCTAAAATGCTGGAAGGACACAAATGCAACAGAAACAAAAAAGCTTTTGTCTTATTGATTCACATGGGTCCAAACAACATACCTACCTTAGAACACTACTAGAGTACTGATATCTGTACAAGACAACATTTATAGTGGTGTTATGAGTTGCAACTGCCTCCAAATGCTCTTAGATTTTTGGTATTTCGCAGATAATTCCCAACCTCATAATGACTGTTTGTATAAGATACGACCTCTCCTGGATCATTTCAATAATAAAATGATCCCTTATTTACAATCCAAGAAAGGATTTGTGCATCGATGAGTCCATGGTACTTTGGCGTGACAGACTCTTGTTTCGACAGTATATCAAAAACTAAATGCCACAAATATGCAATCAAACTCTATGAACTAAGCAAATCTCAAGGTCTGGTACTGAAAATTTGCATATACTCTAGAACTGGCCTTGATTATGATGCCGGGTTGGGACAGGCTGCAGCTGTTGTACTTAACCTGTTGGCTGATTACCTGGACAAAGGTCATGTCATGTACACAGATGAGCTTGGTGAAAAAACTGACTGATCGATCAACCTACATACATGAAACACTCTGTTTTGACCCTAAAGAAAATCCAAAGGATGTGGTCCAGAAAAAGTTTAAGAAGGGGGAACATGAATGAAAGCAGTCAAACTCATGGTAGTTTGTAAATGGAAGGACAAATGGGAAGTGCTCACAATAAGCAACATGTGCAGAGTGGAGATAGTTGTTGTTGTGAATTGGAATAATAGAATTTCGAAGAAACCTAATACAGTCTGCGATTATGACAATGGCATGTCTGGGATAGACATATCTGACCAGATGTTGTCGTATTACTCAACTCTATGTAAAACAATACAATGGTACAGAAATTTGTCCTTCACATCATTGAGATATTTATTCTGAATGCACACATCCTGTACAATGAAAATAGAGGGCAGCAAATGAAACTGTTGAATCGTCACGAATGTGTAACAATTCATCTGCTAGGTAATACCATGGAAGATCTTCATTCACCCCCAATTCCATTGCCAGTAATTGAATTGTTTCATTACCTCGCATATTTGCCATCCAAGAAAAAGAAAGATAAGTCAACCAAACTATGCCATGTCTGCACAAAGGCTGGTAAGAGACAAGAAACTCATTACATTTGTGATGTACGTCCTGAAAACCAACCCCCATGTATAGATAAATGCTTCAAGGAGTACATGTGCCTCAATAATGGCCAGATAAACAAGAAGACAAAGAGACATATATATTTGTTTACTGGACATATAGCTTGTCATTTTGTTATGATGTGAGAACTTGTTAATTCTGAAACATTGAAAGAATAAAATCATAAAATTTGAAAATGTTTATTGATTATAAATTGGTTATTGATTCAGACCTGATCAAACAACACCGTGGATCATGTAGAATATACCTATTTCAGTTATAACCATTTATTTTCATGTTGTAACCATCTTTTCTTTAGTCTTAGTTGTGTTGAAGTGAGCTTTGAGGAGATGTCATGTTTGCACACTTTAGTGAATTTCAACAGCACAAGTAATGATACAATACAAATTTTATCATGAATATTACATAGATTTATGTTCCCCAAACTGCCTGCAGATTGTTTATTGTGTTATCTGGGATGCTAGCATTTTCTGTTTACTATACAATAGCGTAATCTTTTCTACGAGTATACTCATACTAGCAGAATCTGGCACACCCAGCACTACAAGTATACTTATAGTTGGCAGTCAACATGTTAAGTTGTATATCTAGTGATTGAAAGATAGTTCATATAATACCTTAATCTGCTTAAGTTGTATATTCAGTGACTGAGAGACTTTTCATATAATACCATAGCTTGTTTAAGTTATGTATTCAATGACTGGGAGATGTTTTATATAATACCGTAGCTTGTTTAAGTTATGTATCCAATGACTGGGAGATATTTTATATAATACCATAGCTTGTTTAAGTTATGTATCCAATGACTGGGAGATGTTTTATATAATATCGTAGCTTGTTTAAGTTATGTATCCAATGACTGGGAGATGTTTTATATAATACCGTAGCTTGTTCAAGTTATGTATCCAATGACTGGGAGATGTTTTATATAATACCGTAGCTTGTTCAAGTTATGTATCCAATGACTGGGAGATGTTTTATATAATACCATAACCTGTTTAACTTTAAATCCAGTATCTGAGAGAAAATGTTGCATATAATATCTTAATCTGTTTAAGTTCTATATTCAGATGATTGACAGAAGATTTTTCACATAATACCTTAGCTTGTTTAAGTCGAGTATCTAGCGATTGAAAGAAGATGTTTTATCTAATGACTTAATCTATTTTAAATTATGTATCTAGTGGCTGAGAGAAAATGTTTCACAAGATAACTTTATACAATTCACTTGTATATCTAGTTACTGAAATATGTTTCATACAATACCTTAGCCTTTTTAACTTGTATATCAAGTGACTGAGAGAAGATGTCTCCAGCTTCTTGCATGTAAGCTGCCATATCTCCTCGAGGTTCACCTTTCTTAGTTTTTAAACTCTTTTCCTGAAGAACAAGTTCAATTTGATTGTCTAACCAATTTTGCATCTCACTCATTATCTGTTCTTTTTTCCTGGATGACAACTTTGGTGGTTCCTGAAAGATAAAGAAACATAGAACCTTCACAAATTTATAAAGGAAGATTACTTATAAAACAAAGAAACTGTGCAGTAGTTAAATTCAGATTGAAGAAGGTTTACAGGGGACAAGAGTTGTAGAGAAGCTCTTTCCAGCACCTAAGTTGTCATATCTTCTTGAGATAAATGAATATTAAAAAAAATTTTATTACCACAAGTATTATGAGAAAAAATTTTTTTCATTAACTTTGTTTTCTGTACACTCCTCTACTGAACCTTCACTTCAAAATTTGACAAGTGTGAGCACCAGTGAAGTGGGGAGGAAGAGTGAGGGGAGGTAAGTAGCTATCAGAAATACATTTTCAATAAAGGAAAATTATAAATTCCGATACAGTACTTACCTTCTCTCACAAGATTAGCTAGAATTCCACACTGGGAAGGAGGAGGTACTGGTGTGAGTGAATGAAAAAAGTATCCCCAAAAGCATCCGAAGGATACCCCTGACAATGAGTGATATATATCCGAAGATCACAAGAGGGAAACTGCACCACTTCTGAGCCAGGTATACTCTTCACCCATGTGTAGATTGTGTAATGCACAAGGGCAGAAATTGTGAGGTGTAGAGTGGCTATGGCATGGCAGATTGTACTTGGTAAGTCAACTACATCCAAAACCTCCTTGCATGGTCTAATTTTTGCCAACTTCCAAGAAACCTTAGGTATAGAGTGTGGCCAATATAGAACTATCAACTTGATCAGTCACTCCCCAAAAGTATTGTTAAAATTAATCCTCAATCTAATTGAATAGAAGATCGGAGATCCTGAAGGATAACTCAGGTTAATAAAGCAGATATCTGAATCTTGAAGATTTTATACCAGAGTCAGAAAGAAAAAAAAACAGTTCAAACTGATGGAAACTAAGCATTTGGTTTGTGGTTAAAAGAGGCATATGATGACAATATGTGATGTCACCAACATTATATAATTTCTAGTCAGAGTGGTTGATGAGAGAAGTAATTACTGATACAGAAGGGATCAAGGTCAGCAGAAATAGAATCTGTAATAATAGGTATACTGATACTAGACCTTATGGGTGAATCTTAGAAAGAGATGCAATGGCTTGGTGATAAAGAAAAAACTGTGGACTCAGAATAAACCTAAGACAATGGTAATTTCATGATATGAAAAAAGCTCTCAGAATGTGGATCAAAGTAAAATGTAAAGATTTGTAACAAGTAGAAGAGTTTACTTATTTAGGGATGAATATCACTAGTAATGGTAAGTGTGGAAAATGAGATAAAATAAAGGATAGATATGGTAAAAATGGCTTTCTTCGATTTTGTAGATTTTATCAGGAAAAATGTCAAACTAGAAATGATGAAGAGATTACTGGCACAGTTTTGTTTTGTGTTATAACCTAAACTGTTGAATGTTACTGATTAAACTTGTGTACTTGAGAATGATCACACTAGTGATTGAAACATTGTACCTGTTTTAAAAGTATTCTTCCTTACTGTAAAAGCTGTAACTAGTAATAATATAAGACTACTAAAATGTTACACAAGGTCAGTCTTACTCTAAGGGAGGGGGGGAAGTATGACTATGTTGCTGAAATAAAATGACAGTTTGAAGCATTTGAAATGTGGTGTTATGGATAACTAATGACAGCTACATAGAAAGAAATACTAATGAAGAAGTTTTGGAACAAGCAAAGATAAAAATACACTTGTTGGATATATGTGGGAAATGGGAAGTGCATTTCTTTGAGCATGTAATTAGATCTCAGGTAAGGTTGCCAAAAAGACTGATGGATAAAATCAAAGGAAGAAGAACGAGAGACAGATAGAGTCACTTGGCTTAAAGACATTATAAAATGGATAGGAGATGAGAAGCTTGAATTATAAAAAACAAATTATACAATCTCTTAAAGTATAATTTTCGAATGGTAAAATAGTACTTTTAAAACTCATTTCTAAATTACAAAACTATTCATCATTTTTTGTTTTATTATTTAAATTTGTACTCTTCTTTTCTTTTAAATCTACTTTTTATCTTACTCTGGAAAGTTCTCACAAAACTATTGTTACAATACACTCACCAGAAGACTAGGATCAGTAACACTATTAGGAAAGTACTCCTTAACAAAGTCATCTCCCAAGAGGGTAAAAAGTGCTTGTCTGTGGCTAGGAATCCCTAATTGTCCTTTAATCTTCAGTGCCAATCCTGATCCAACTTTTTCTAATAACTACAATCAGAAATATATAAAGACTCCTGCTAAAAATGTTAGATGAGCAACTTCATTCCACATACAGTAGATATTCATTCTTACCTTACTAATTCCACTAACTGTCATGCATCTAGCATAGTTGATTTTGTTTGTTTGTTTTTTATTTTATTGCGAAGCTACATGAGGGCTACCTGTGCTAGCCATCTCTAAATTAGCAGTGAAAGACGAGAGGGAAGGCA